TGTGTGTGTGTGTGTGTGTGTGTGTGTGTGTGTGTGTGTGTGTGTGTGTGTGTGTGTGTGTGTGTGTGTGTGTGTGTGTGTGTGTGTGTGGCCCCAACCAGTGTAATTACACCATATCGTTTTCACTTTTTCTTTCATCATAGTCCGCTGCAGGGCCTCTTGCTCACTCCATCAAAGCCTTATACGAGAGGGCTTCTTTTCCCCCCCTTTCCTGCCCTCCTCTCCAGTGACTTAATTGCCGTCGCCGCCTCTTTCCTCCTTTCATATCTCTCTTTATATGAGGAATAGTAGGACGTCTGCGTTACCTCATTTGCCGTCGGCTTTGATCTTCTTTCTCCAAAATCTCTTGTATCGCCACCGATTCATGTCGCATTAACCCAAACTGTGGCCATCATCACTTATCATGAAATACCTCCAAAGGTTTCCTTGTTTCAGACCGTCGGCAGACTACAACTTGATGTTCAGGTTCAGCGTGATGCCTCCACCAGTCAGTCATGCACGTACTAAACACGACAATTCATTCATAAACAACGGTCGGCGGGAGGTTTCCTTGCAGAACACGTAACAACAGATTACATAATGACTTCTCCAGTAAATGAAATCAAAGCTACAGCCGTTCTGTTCAGCGCAACGCCACGAAGCCTCACGCTCTTTTTCTGTTGCTAAATATTTTCCTCGTTTCCTTCCTGAGGTCCTCAGAAGCACCGAGGCCATCTTTTCCGCCCCACGCATGTTTATGGATGACTGCGCGAAACGCAATTATGCTTTCAGCCGCAGAAATAATTTCAACTTGCTGACTCACCGTTAACCACTAAAAGCTCATTATGGCGGTCACGACAATAGCAGCAGAGCAGTGTAGGAAGCGGGTTTAAGTGTGTGCCACGCAAACACTTAAGTTGTTTGTTTTTGTTTGACACAACTGCCGTCGGTGGCAACAGGAGGGAATCCTCCCAGCCTGGCTGTAATGTTTGCTTTTGTATGCAGTAAACAATATTTGTAAGACGCCCGCGGGCCTATGCTCAATTCCCAATGGATATTGAAAGATACCGTTGCTACTTCTTCAGGTATTCGCTTCAATGCGTGGACTTCCTGCTGGGCTCGTCTGTCTTCCATCAGCGCAACCTGCAGTTGCACTTTGTTTCTGCTCCGTTTCGGAGGCAGTCAGCTCGTGGGCTGGAAATGTGTTTTCTGGAGGAAACCCCACCCACAGCTCCTGGCGGGCCCGACCACAGACACTGCGCCAGTGTAGACGCACCGGAAGTGCACTGCACACTCTCCAGATATATGGGCCTTAAAGTCAAGGGCAGGAATCCGAAGGAAATCAGGATGCTCTTGCATGTTTGCGTTGCAGATTATGACTGGTATGGCTTTCAAAGTCTTCACGTGTGAACGTGACAGAAAGTAGACTAGACTTTAGTCCGGGTGACACCAGGTCCAAGTTGTGGCGCAGACAGACAGATTCTGCGCTCTGCTCTATAAGTGTGGTGGATGCAATTTTATTTCATTCATAATTATGACGTCAGAATGCATCGAACACTCTAAATCATTGTAGAAATCAATTCATTCAATGCATCATTATTATTAATATTATTGTCATCATCTTTAAGATATATTTTCTTACAAACCCGGCACAATTGGTGGGTGCGTCTTCAAGGCGGTCTCCAAGTGCCCACTTCTCAGTTCCCAACTTAATGTCATCCGCAAGTGGACATCTTGCAGTTGCTTGTAAACTTATTTGCGCTGTGTGCTACTCCATGCTTGTAAATCTTCTTTCGAGAGCCTCCTTGCAAATTTCATCCGCTGAATCTTGCTCTTCTCTTTACGTTTTCTCTAGTCTCATTCTGTCTTTCATGCTCCTCCTCTTCAGCGAACACACAGTGCTTTTGTCTTCCGCTTTGTCCTAGTGTCCTTTACAAGTCTCTGCCTCTGTCAAACACCCGCCTTAAAGCAATCGTGCCTGCGAGGCAATTAGGTCACACTGCCGCGAGTGTGTCGAGCACCCATGTTGCATGGCGGACAATCAATGTGGCATTTGTCCCAGTCTCCAACAACATCAATGGCCTATTCACGGCGGCGTTATACAATGCGGATGGACGAGACGTGTGCTTTTGGTGTCAACATGTTCGCAAGGCCATGCAAAAAAAAAAAAGACGTACATTGTATATGTCCTCCCCTGTACAGTGGACATGCATGCCAATGAGGAAACAAATCAAAGGGTTGGTAATGGAGCCAGTAGAAAGGAAAAAGATGGATTTGATGCATGGATCCTCATGGAGAAGCTGCACTGTATATTTTGCGACGTCAAGATAATTCTTCATCTTGTTGTCACCAAGCTTGCGCGTTCGAGCTTCCTGGTGAGTCAGTTCTTTGGAAAAATGAGATCTCACACAGAAGCTTCCGTAATTCCCCCTTAGGCTGAGACTATTCTACTTTTATCCAGCTTCTGTCCCCTTTGCTATCTTGCTCTCCTCCAGGCCTCGCTCCGCCCTTTCTGGCTGACATTTACAATTATTTTCTCTCCCGCGCTCATAATTCTTCTCTCCCTCTCTCAGTTACTCTGGCTCAACATCTCTGCTTTCCCACACCCCCCAGGCGCACATTAACGGAGACAATCGATTTGCTTGAACTGTGTTTTCTTCATATCCCATCACCCTCCTCTCTCTTTATTATTGCAGTTAGAGCCACCGTTGCTCCTCGTCCATCTTTTTTATTTCTTTATTCAATTAGAGGAGAAGAAAGTTTCTGGTGGGCAAATATTGAATACACTTCCCTCAACATCTAAAAGTGAAATTTGCTCTCATCGGTGATGCCTCGTGAACTACATTTTTAAGTGGGACAACTTGAAGGAAGTTCAATAAACTGTGCACTACGCAAGATAAATGGACAGGGAGAAAAGGGAGCACAAGTAAAAGAAGCAGCAAGAAATATTTCCATTGAATGTCTCCATCTAGTGGTCACAATGGAGGCTCGTTCTGGTTTTTAACCTCTGGGCAAGAATGAACTCACAGCAGTCTGACTTTTCTCTTACAGATAATCTGGTGCTGGTGGACCTGCACCTGGTGGACAGCAGTGTGTTTGCTCTTGAGGGAGTATTTAAGAATTGGCTTCAAGAATATGGAGTGGACTCTGAACACATCCACCTTGTCCTACCAAGCCCACGGGGGAGTCCCGGTCCAGGTTCGTCACCGCTCCTACTGACCAAAAGTAAAAAAAAAAAAAAAATGTCATCGTCATTGTCAGAGACGTGACCGTGGCTTTTTGCTGCTCTCTAGTGTGCATTAAGTGCGACATGCGGGAGCGCGTCATCAGCCCCGGCTCCCTCCCACTGAACCCCTCGGAGAAGCCAGAAAGCCTTTGTGACGTCATGTCAGTCTCTCAAGTACCCCGGAGAATGAGAGCAATCAAGTAGGATGGAGGACTCATCAAGTGATTACAGTATATTCAAAAAGCTGAGGGGGAATGATGAACCGAACATGAGTGTTGCATCGACCATGCATGCATTGTCACCATGTATTCCGTAGGAGCTCTCTTTGTCTATGAATGCTTCCATTCTTGATTGTGTAGAGCATTGCAATATTTACAAGACGTGTCCACTTTGTTCTGCTCACATCTCGGTGCAGTAGAAGTACCGTGTGTCCGTGTTTCCAGTCACGGTGTCCACAAAGTGTTTGTCAGGAAATGTTTAGCACGCCACTGGCAAGACGGGACAAAACGGACTCGAAAAAGGGATCTATTTGGGCTGGCGCAGGAGTGTGTAATCAATTGTGTCAGTTGCCAATCCGTTGAACAAAGACACAAATCGCTAAACAATTTGCGATAAGAAACAAACCTATCTCGTGTCTGTGTTTAAACTCATCAAGGTCATGAGTGTCTCTTTACGTATGTTTGCCCGTAGGGCCCTTTACAAGGCTGGCGTGTGTCAAAGCGTGTTGTACGGCCTGCCGCTAGTTGTCATCCCGACCGCCTGCTGGCGTCTGAACTGGGATGAGATAGAAACCAACCAGCACAGGTTTCAAGCTCTCAACCGCACACTGCAGGTAAATAACAAATGCAACGCCTGTCTCAGCCTCTTTATCGATTGTTAAAAGTGATGATGTCTCCCGGTTTTCTTTTTCAGGATCAGGGCCAGGTTTTGCTGCTGCAGGTGGGGCCGACAGATGGAGACTCAGGTGTGCGACTTATTTAACCCACGACCTTTTGAGGTGCAGTAGTCGTTAGACTTGAGTCCAACGTAGATAAAACCGGACTTGACTTTGACTCGGTATTAAGGATGCGCCAATCTCGAAATCTCACGGCACGCAATCGTCACGGTACCAATTATGAATGCGGCGTGTCCTAATGATGGCTGATTGCCTTTGGAACTCTTCTTTGAACAGAAACCTGCATACTGTATGCCTCATGCGTTCATGCTGTGCATCCCGCGTGTGTTTTGTGTCTCTTTGCATGCGAGGCAGATTTGTGCTCTTTCTATTTCCTCTACCCATCTCCGTCACTCGCCATGCTCCTGAAGCCAGTCGTCTGCAGGGAACTATTTATGCCTGGCGCGTACTCTGAGCCAATGCGGGAGCCTCCCCCTGAAGCCATGCAGGTCATCATGGTAAAATCAACTTTGTCTTCTCTGCAATTGCACGTGACCAAAACCAATAGTCAGAAGCGGAACGAAGCATGTTGAGCTTCAACTTTTTGTCTGTTTCCGTCAGGATTGCCTCAGCCAGATCAAAGAGAAGGAGGTGTTGAGCCCCTGCTCCCTGAACAGCAACCTCTACCAGCATCTCAGGAGCATCCTGGTCACCAAGCTGCACTACCCATTAGGGTCGGGCTAATATTAAATGTGGCTCATCAGGCTAAATAAATCTGATCTAGCTGTGAGTCATGAACACGAGGCAATGCATCTCTCGCCCTTAGCCCTTCAACTATGCTCCCTGCTATCCAAACATACCAGCGTCAACCACCAGAGAGCGCTGTAGCCACAGCCAACAGTCAATCCCATCAGGTAAACAGTGTTGCTTTTCTTCACGATTGAGTTGACGCGCCATATCAGTAGTTTGCACCAAACCTTGAATCCATCTTCAATCAATTGAAATAGTAACACATAGTGGATGCTTGTGAACTCGACTATCATTTGGCTATGTTTTTTTTTTCTCGTCAGCTGAGGCCTGCAGTGACCTGAAAGCGCAGAGCAGTTGGCTGTGTGACTCATTGGGCCCGATAAGGCTGCTGACATGCAAATAGTTTGAAAGGCGGAAAAAATAGTCAACCGCACTGCTGTTGCTTCTTTCTCTGCTTAGGAAAGCTAAAAATCAAATTGTTACATTTACTCGCTCAATTAAAACTGAGCATTCAGTAATGTAGATCACGCTCTCCCATGACTACGTGAATAATACAATATACGAAGAACAAATTTTCAGAATACGTGGACACACTTAGGCGCAATAGGAAGTTTGGTGGAGGTCGCTGCAACACTGAGTACTATTCTAGTTAAATACGTAGCGTCACTTGGTATGTCGCCTTCCTTCCAAACCAGGCTCACCAGCTTGGAATGTACAGCAAGGTCAAGTCCAACGTGGCCCCCGAGCCGCCTTCCTTGCAGAGGACCCTGGAAAACTCCCGCTCCGCCCCGCTGAGACCTCCAACTCCCTTGAGACCACATCGTCGAGCTTTGACCTTCGTGAGAAGGAGTAGCTCATGCAGTAGCGGCCATCAGGCCTCAGCGCCTGCTCCTCAGGAGGGATCGGACAAAGATGGCACGGTAACACTGGCAGAGCACTGATGGGTGGATGGTGGAAGGCAAAACTGAAGATAAAAGAGGAATACGGTAGCCAAAGGTCAAGAGGTTGTGTAGTGCATTCTTCATACGAGTCCCAGCGTACAGTTACAGTGTTTCCGTTTCAACATGCGCACACAACTTTGCCATTTGAGGGGTTTGGTCATAACACGCCCTTCTTAAGAAGTGAAAATCACAAACTCGGAATTCTGTGCCAAAAATGCCCCGGACAGCTGACTGAATTCTTCCATGCATCACTATTAAAATGTCACCACATCGGCTGATGTGAGCATGCGAACGTGTGTGTGCATGCGTGCGACCAAATGACAGATTAGTAATTGTGCTCTTAAAAAGGGGAAGAGGAGAGGGGGGAAAAAAAGAATTTACATATCCATATTGTACTGACGTAAAGACAAGTATTCACATTCCTCTTCGAACACAGCTTTACTGTTTTAATCGGGGGGGGGGGGGTAGCAGCAGCAGACAAATGGCTCTCTGCTTTCCTCAAGCACCATCATTCTCGCCTTCTCTCAAAGGTGCCAGATGAAGAGGTGAAACTCCGGAAACAGCAAAGTAAAAGTATCATTTCGATTGTCCTCTTGGTTTGCAGAGACATCCCAATAGAGTCAATGCAAATTCATGGATACTACACATCAAGTAGTCATGCTCATATTTCTTAATCTAATAAGCACAAGAGCCTTGTCTCTCTCTCTCTCGCACACGCACGCACGCATGCACAGACTTTAATCAGTCTCCCGCCATTCCACTCCCATGTTGAACCTTGTAACACAAGCGAGGAGCCAGTGACAAATTACCTCATGGCGTTCTGACGTCACAGGCCTTCCGCATTCACAAATTACGACCACAACGACTCTTTTGTCTCTGAAGGAGAAGTCAAGCAAATTGGCTCGCATTTCACTTGCTTTTCACCCGCCATCTTTGTCCTTTATCATCCCCTCGCTACATTATTCATTGCAAACCCTGCGCGCGATCAACCGGTGGGTAGAACCGAAAAACAAAAAGGTCAAAAAGGCTGAAGTTCCTCTTTCTGACTGCTAACCATAAAGGAGAACCAGGATAACAAAAGTGCGATTTTTGTGTGGGTGGCTGTGTTGCATTTAACTGACAAGCATCGAAATGGTTTAGTTTGAAGACCGCTTAGTTCCCGTTTGGCTTTCATATGCTGTCACCTTGTAACAGTTTGGATGTTGCTGTTGACTGTGCTAGCCTTAAATAAGAATTATTGCAGTTGAGACAGTGTTCCAATTTGGCTGTCAATACATTGTCTTGAGACTTGGAAAGACACTGCAGCTCATTGTGCTGCCATCGGCAGCACGGAAGAACACTTTTTTATCTCTGGCTCAGTCTCGTGCGGCGTCTTTCCTGCAGTTGCCTGTTCCGGCCTGAGTGATAAAACAATACAAACTGCAATAAAACGCACAAAGCACTTCATATACAGGCCCCGGACAGATAATGACAAAGTGCGTCTGCCCCGAGGAGGCAGACGAATCAAAATCTCCAAAAAGGTTGTATGCCTGTGCAGTCTGCAAAGTGTACAAAATCAATTGCAAGTAGCATACATTCTAACTTTTAATGGAAACGGAATTGGATTCTTTGAATTAGAGTCCTACATTTTAAGGAATGACTTGAAGGTTAGTAGTACAGACTCCAGTCACGGAAGCAAAAACCTGAATGAAACTATGACAAAGAACCGACAAAGAGCAAATGCAACTTCAGAGACGAATCGAATGGCTTACCCACGCAGTGCTAAAAATAGAAGTTGGTGGTCTGCATGAGATTGTTTTATGTGTGCAGCTATGTTGCAAAAAAAAAAAAAATGGATGAAATTAGACATCTTTGAATCGCCAGAAAAGGAACCTAACACATACGTAGGCTCACAGACTCTTTCCAAATGCTGTACATTGCCACGAGCTTGAGCAAGGCATGCAAGGATCTTTTGTTTGTTGCATGATAGCCCTTTTGGCCCTCCGTGCTGAAACCACAATGAACGAACCCGGAGCACACGCAACTATCGCAAAGGAACATGCACTAGCTTAGTTGAATTGTGCAATTTTGCATACTATCCCCCCCCCCCCAATACATCTTCCTGAAAACATGAAATTATTTTCATCCCAAAACGCTGCTTTTGAAACTAGTCAAGAGTAGTGTCAGTTTGTTAGCATGTCAACTTGATCTGCAGCTGTTGCCCAACTCAAATTTCCAAACAGGCCCAACTTCTGTAGCCCTGTGAGGGGGAAATAGTTGCTAGAAAATCGCTGCAACTATATCCACAAGTTTTTACATCACGGCAAACAAGTGTTGAGTCAAGTCATGTAAAGGACAAAAAAAAAAGAAATCGATAAATGGGCTACCATGCGCTACGCAAGTTAACCCTTCTGTTGTTCGATCAGTTCACCGCTGCTTCTGCTTTGCTTTCTCCTCCGCTTGCCTGACGGTGCGCAGAGGTAGAGTTAAGGACCTTAAAAATGTAATCGGGCTGTCTGTGGATTTGTTCAAAAAGAACTTTGGTAGCACTTGGGGAAATAAAAAAAAGCAGAGAGATGAACGGGATACCGAACTGGAGCCGCGAATGGAACAGTCTGTCCCTGTTTTGCACGCCAACTGACACATGCAGCGCTTTCCTGCCAGCATTCATCGTGTCAATGTCTTTCTCATCTTGCCTTTTGTAAGCGCTGGAGAAACTCTCCCCTTTTTTTTTTTTATATTCTTCATCTGTCTTTAGCTGCTTTTTGCTTTTGACAGACTCCTTCTTCATCTTTCCAGCCCATGTTTGACCGACCAACCTTTGTCTGCGCTTGCAATGCAAGACACAAACCAGTTGCGGTGCGCTGACACCATGGCAACCCAATCAGTGCAGAGAAAGCGAGAGAGAAGAGAGAAGTACGGATGAAAGCCGCTGCTTCATGCTTTAACGGCGCGAGTAAGTGGCTGGAAACGAACTGAAAGAACACAAAACTGTGGCAAAGGAGGGGAAGTTGAGGATGAGGTCAGACTTGCTCAGCCCAGAACAGAAAGTCTGTTGACCAAAAATAACTGTGACATCGGTGGCAGATGTCCGCTATATGGAGGAATCTCTTCAAGACTTTTTTTTTTTATTGTTGTTGTCGTATTTACAGACAGCGCAGCTGTTTTCTGACATGTACACATATGTTGCAGGTAATTGCAAAGTCTCTCTTGTAGAGGCAATAACACACGAGTGGAAAAACATGGAACAACTTCCCCCTGCAGTTGAACAGCCACATTACCCCCCCACCCCGTGTCTATTTCCTTGATCCAAATGAGGGCTTGAGTTCACATTGCCTGATTCCTGCGAAGATTTTTCCACCATATGGAGTCTAAAAATAAAGCACCTCCTGTTTTAGTGCCTTGGACTCGAACCTTTCCAAGTCTCTGCGGATTGGTGGCATTGAAGGTGATGAATCGGCGCAGTCAACACGTGAAGGAAAATCTCGTTGTCCCACGTAATCAAAACACAGAAGTGTGGTCACGCATCTGCAACCACACCACAGCTCGCTTCGCCACTTGTGGAATGAGACCGTCCAAACACTTTCATCACTTCTTTAGCCCTCGCTCTCACTTAAGATGGACACGACCGCAGATTAACAGAAAAGAAAGATGTGCCTCAAAAATAAAAATAAAAAAATGCAATCACTTGCAGCCAAGTGAAGGCGCCTGTCAAACATTTCCCAAGTTATCATAGATAATATCAGGTGAGCTCAGTGGCGTCGCTTTGGAGTGATTTGACCACAATTTCGAAGGTTTTGTGACTTGGCTGTACAGCTCCTTTTCACCTCCGTCCTCCCTGCCCCGACTGTTGTTGTTGTTGTTCACATTATGATCAGGCTCGCTATGTTTCCCGGGAGGCAACGGAACGGGCTCCCTGCGGGCAAAATTGCCCCGGACGGGTTTGGGAGCGGTGACGGGTTTGGGCCATCGAGGAGCCGGCGGGTGTTGACCTCCGCGGTTCGGGGGCGAATGTTTGTGGGACTCTAAAGAAGACTTCCCGTGGGTGGGGGTGCTGTAAGTTACCTCCGGTCCTGTCAGGGTAGCCACTTCGTCTCGCCTCTTTTGGCTGTAAGGCTCCAAACGGGCTTCGTTGTAAATAGTCATCCCCATGGTGTTGCTCGAGTTCAAAAATCCTTTGGCGCAACCTTCCGGTTCGTCGTAAATATGCTCCAGAGTCAGAACAGGGGGCGATAGAGCTCCCTCTGTTCGAACCCCGGGGGTTCTCTTGTTACTGTTCATCCCTCTGCCTGCGCATCGCCCGCCCCCTCCTGCATTCCCGGCCCCATTCAGACTCATCGCATCGGTCTTATGGCTCAGCTCCACGCTGATGTGGTCATACACATGTGAATATAGGTCCTGGGCGGTCCTGTGGGTACCGCTCCCGTGGTGATGCTCTGTTTGGGCCCCGCCTCCAGAGGACTCGTCACCCACCGGACGCAGGCGAGGGACTTGCGCTAGCGGCGCGGATGTAATGCTGTCCACCGGGTCAGAGTAGAGGCCATCAGCCGTGTGCGGAGGCAGACGGACGGCATCCGCTGGCTCCGAGTAAAGAGCAGCTTGTTTGTCAGCCGAGGAAGGACACTTTGCCGCTCCCTGGCCTCTTGGGGACCGCGGAGGTGTGTTACCTCCACTCGCGCCCCCCGCTATGGCAGGCAGTTCTGGTAAACTCCTCCCCTTTTGTCTCTCGGCACCGGCGCTTGCTGGCCCTCTTGCCCCTCCTCCTCCATCTCCTCCCTCTCTTTTCCCGAGCACGCCATCTGCAGAACCTGGTTTGCTGCCACCCGAATCGCCGTCAGCCTCCCAGCTGCTGCAGCTGCTGCTGTCTCCGCTTGCGGGTGCCGCGGCGCCAGCGTTGCGGATGTGCTGCAGCGATGGCGGGCACTCGGGGTCAAAGTAGCCGGGGCAGCTGAGGGGACGCTCCTCAGCCAGGGCCTTCTGGGACTTGATGGCTTGATCCACGAGGGTGAAGATCTCGTTACCTTGCTTGGTGTCAAAGGTGAAGTTACCGGGGCCTGAGTCACAGCGGCGGCCAGACTCGATGGAAAACATCACCTGCAAAAGTAACGCAAGAAAGAAGCCTGTGACTACTTCAACCAAGACGCTGCAGTTGCAAGCCTCGGAGGCTTTTGCGCCGTTTCCTTCGTCGCTAAACCAGCGCTTGCTTGCTTGTCCGCTTTTGCGTCACAACAGTTAGCAAATTAAAAAACGTTTTTGACACCCTAGCGACCTTTTCTTGAGCGGTCTGCTGTCTCGTCTGCTCTTGCCCGCTTTTGCGTCACTCCAGTTAGCAAATTAAAAAAAAAAATTGACACCCTAACGACCTTTTCTTGAACGGTCTGCTGTCTCGTCTGCTCTTGCCCGCTTTTGCGTCACTCCAGTTAGCAAATTTAAAAAAAAAATTTTTTTGACACCATAACGACCTTTTCTTGAACGGTCTGCTGTCTCATCTGCTCCGCACATTTAAAATGTCATTTCACACTTTACAGCAACCGCCTATGAAAAGACCAACCACAGCCTCTGATAGCAGAAGATGCTCTGACCACATGCACACGCACACATCCACACTGACGTGTTATTGCACCCACCCGGTCTCGTCCGTATCTCCTCAGCAGCTTGTACGGCCAGACAAAGACATTCCTCTTTGTTTTGGGCTCTTTTAAGATCAGGACGTTGCTTTCGGCTTTCAGCCAGTAGTTGCCCGACAGCCTGCAGCGGTCCGAAGCCTCCGTTCGCTGAACGCTCACCCAGAACTCGTTCACTACGGATACATAGACAGTTTTTTTTCCAATAATTTTCTTATGCTACAATTTTCGGCTTCTGTCGCATCCTCACCCTGTTCTCTGGAGTAATAGATAAGGTTCTCAGACATCTTCAGGTCTTGGGATTCCACGTCAGAATCCCCGTTGCCACCGCTTCCACCCTGTGGAGACACAACTTCATCTTTACGAATTGTCTTTTCACTCGCAATGCTGGTGGCAATTCCCCTTTTCAAAAAGTAGATGATGAATAGCAAGTGCGCTGGGCAGCGCAAACCGGTTTTGATCGCCAAAGTGGTGATGTAAGCCGTACATCGCAGGATCTCTCCGATGGACGGAGAGTCGGCCATAAAAATAGTTGACTGTGGAAGGGAACATTTTGTAGCCATTGGCACACAAAAGCCAACAAAGAGGAGCCAAAGAAGGAAAAAGGATACCTGAAATGCAATGTCACACATGGTATTCATCCACTCCTTGGCGGCATTCTTCTCAGCGGCGAACACGTGGGTCTTGTCGTTGGTCTCCACACAGAAGGCTGCCATGTTGTCTTTGGGACAGTTCTCAGTCAGCGCCGGCAGGATGGAGATGCACTCGGATAAGCGGATAATCTTCTTGTCCAGCTTTCTGGTCTTTTCATTTGAATTCCCGCCCGAGCCGCCGCCCACACCTCCCGACCCGGACGACTCGAAGAATTCGAGGCGTGCGATGCCATTTTGGCTGGCCGGGTAGAGGACAAACCAATTCTTCTTCCATTTCTGATGGAACAGAACAACCATAATGAGCCATTGTCAAATCCTCTTAGCATGATGCTTTTATTTATTTATTTATTTTTGGGGGTCATATTTTTTACATGCCAGTGAGCTAAAATCAGTCCTGTTCTGTTCTGGTTCACGCCAGAAGTGTCCTTCTGGCACCGAGAAAAATGGTCGGAAGACAGGAGATGGGCGACAGGAAAAAGACAAAACAGAAACTGAAAATATTGCCCAACACATCTGCTTTGCTCGGGAAGAAGGTGTGCAGGCGAGAGTCTGCAACCCATGTGGGTTAAGGAGCACGCTGAAATCGTGTGCCATCTCACAACGTTAACCTCAGAAAAAAGGTCTTTTGTTTCAAGTAGTTCTGTCTTTGGGCAAATACGTGGTCAAATGGTACTTTTGACTTCATACCGTGGCAGAATTCTCATTACTATGAATGTCTCTTGTGGAGTGGCGATGTCGGGGCCAGGGTCAAATGTTTTGTTGGCCCTGGTCATATGACCAGAAAGAGGCGCGCCATATAAACAAAGACCCTCTTTCAAATCCCCATGAGGGAGACGTGTTCTTATCCAGCGGTGCATTCACAGCAAACACAAGTTTGCGTGGAGGCCCGAGCCTGATCCGCAAGTGATGAGCGTCCGCGCTACCGCACACAGTCTGATTGGCGTCATTTCCTGATAACGGCAGAATGTGTGAAAAGTAGAATGAACGAAGGTTCAAGGGGAAAAAAAAAAAAGTGTCTTCCGTGTGCAGCTCACGCACCAAATTTAGCTCATCACGAGGCCAGCTGCAAATATGCTTTTTTTGTTTCATTTGTCATCTGCCGAATTCAGTTTTTAAATTTAAACTATTTCCCGATGATAAAATAGCATGCGTCTGAGCTATTTCTAGAATATCCTAGGAATACCGTGTTTTCACTTGTAACTTTTCTCTGAAGTATTCCGGTTTCTTAGTATTTGACCATTATTAGAACAGCAAAATATTACCTTGCCAAACTTTTGATGCTGCACATAAAGTTGTCCCTCCTTAACGTGGGTGTCCATGCCCCCGGCCTCCACCGACTCTTCCCTCCGAGTAACCCAAATTTGACTTGAACTTGACAGCAGCCAAAACAAACAAACAAACAAAATAAAATCCTCTTAAGTTTGTTGTTCTTTTTCTCCCCCCGCCCCCCCCCCTACACACCTCTACATCCCCTAACAACTTCCCCACTTCTCTCACTTCCTCTGCCTGGCCGTGAAAGGGCAAAAACGGTTGCTGTGGGGCTCGGTGCAAAGCGGCATGGCTCAAAGAAATAAAAGGCTCAACCAAACACTGGGTGGTCCCGTCAGAGATCAAAAAAATAAAATCCTCTTAAGTTTGTTGTTCTTTTTCCCCCCCCGCCCCCCCCCCTACACACCTCTACATCCCCTAACAACTTCCCCACTTCTCTCACTTCCTCTGCCTGGCCGTGAAAGGGCAAAAACGGTTGCTGTGGGGCTCGGTGCAAAGCGGCATGGCTCAAAGAAATAAAAGGCTCAACCAAACACTGGGTGGTCCCGTCAGAGATCAAAAAGGTCCAAAACGTTTGACCGTAAGTTACTCCTCTACTTGACGCATCTGAAGGCTGCTCCGAGAAAGTGCTGTGGGAAAATGTGTCATCAAAAACACCGGACTTCCCCTCAAACTTTCAGAATAAAACTCATTTGCTTCAACTTAAAACGGTTCCTTAACACATCCCCAAACAAAGTGAATTGTCATCAGGGGAAGTCTGAGAAATTACCCAATTCCACTTCATGTGTTCGAACGTTATTTTTCTTTGCCAATGGCATATAATGACAGGCGGAACAATTATTTGCTCTTATATTAGATGGCAAAATGTAAAATAATAATGCCAGATGTCATCCTTGGTGTCAGGGACAGCTCAATTTTTTCCCCTCCCGTAGCTAAAGGGGGGCTTGAGGGGGTGGGGGGAAACAATAATTTATGAATATATTTTACAATATCCAATAAAATACTGGAGTGATTTAACTGGGGCTACACAGATTTCTGATGGGGCTATAGCCCCTCTCGCCACGGTGTGTGGCCGCCATCCCTGCTTGGTGTTGACTGGCTTTGGCAGCGAGTAATCAATTTGAGAGTAAATTGAAACAAGATCATAGTTATTTTAGTTTATTAAATTTTTTGACCTTTTTAACAGCGCGTGCGTCATTTTCATAAGCTAAATGGGTGCCACGGCTCAACAACAGGTGGAAAACACTGACCTACCTAACGGAGGCGCAAATGCAACGTTTTATTTTGAAGGTTACGCACTTAGTATCCGCTTTTGCAGTCGCGCTTGACACGCGCTCCTCTTCCTCTTCACCCACCTCCTCACTCTTGCGTAACGTGTCTTTTGCTCTCAATCGTGGCACACTTAACGCGCCTTGTTTTCCACGTTAAGGTGTTAACACTTTAAAACAACTTTACCACTATAAAGTAAAAGTGCTTTTCACTCGAGACATTTCTTTCTCGTGATCATTTCTAGCAAAGTTGTAGGGGGGCTCGCCCACTCTGGCAGGAGAAGCGGGAATCGCTTTTTAATGGGCTGCAGATGCCTCGTGTTGGCTCTCAGCGTTTGTCCCTGATTCCAGCCCAAAACAAGCAGCGTGAACCCCCATCGATTATCACGATATGGAAAGTAAGGGGATACAATCAGACGGTTAAAAAAATGAGAGGAAATCACGTTCCAACCAACTTAAACTCACTTTGACACGTAAACATCTGAAATATTTTTACTATGTGCTATATTGTATTCGTTGGGTGCTTGAAGAGATGCCTTTGACCTCTACTGTATATTTTAATTGTTACACGACATCACGCGCCGCGTTGATTCCATTTTTGCCAGCACAATGCTGCCACCTGTTGGTCGTTTGTGAGCATCGCAAAGTCCAGCCCGGTTCTTCGGTCTCACGAGATCGTCGCGGTCATGAGGAGCGAAACAGGAAGTGGACCATGTCATCGGTGTTCGGCGGCGTTGAAGGGTGAGATTTAAAACGAAAATATGTTCAACTACACTTTTCGCACTTTAACGACGTTGCTATCGTTAATTGTAAGCGTGTAGTATTGTTTCTGTGGTTGATATCCGGATCTCTAAAGACACAACCCGTTGTTACGGTTCCTTCATTGTCACTGCTTCGTAGCCTTTGGTCCTACAGTGTCGAGTGAGGTTCGAATGTATAAGAGACTCCTCAGTAACTCCTCTGCGCTTGTAGTGGGGGGACCCATTCCAAGGCGGTCCTGGTGACAGAAGATGGAAGAATCCTTGCAGAGACTGAGGGGCCCTCCACCAACCACTGGGTGGGCTCAATTCATCCTTATTACAAACCCAATTCCAATGAAGTTGGGACGTTGAATTGAATATAAATAAAAACGGAACACAATTATTTGCAAATCATGTTCAACCTATGTTATTTTGAATACAATACACATGACAGCATGTTTAATGTTCAAACTGGTAAACTTGATTGTTTTTAAGCAAATAATTGTTAGTTTAGAATTTTATAGCTGCAATGCATTCCTGAAAACGGGTGTCAAACTGATTTTTGTCGCACGCCACTTCGGAGCTACGTCTTCCCTTGGAGGGCCAATATGACAGTGAAACCACTAAAATGTTTAATTTTATTCTTATTTTATAACTTGTACACCAAAGTAATGGACTACTAGTTTTTAAATCAGTCAACTACAATAGTTTTTTTGTTTTTTTATTGTCCAAATGATTGTAATCAGAGTAACAAAATTCTCAACGTTATTTATTACACATGACAATTTGACATTTCAGTACAGATTTTAGTATGGATCATGCACACATGATTTGCTCTCATGGGCCACATAAGATGATGTAGTGGGCCGGATCTGGCCCCTGGGCTTTTGAGTTTGACACCTGTACCCTAAAAGTTTGGTCAGGTGGCAAAAAAAAACTGACAGTATTGAGGAATGCTTCTTCCAGAAGCCACCGGCTTCTCTGGGCCCAAGCTCATCTAAAGTGGATTGATGCAAAGTGGAAATATATTCTGTGGTCTGATGAGTCCACATTTCAAATTCATTGGAGTTGGGTTTTACAATCGTTTCTCTTAACTTCCCTTGTAATTTGTACAGCTGGTGGGGGTGGACAAATGTATCGAAACCATCAACGACATGGTCCGGGGAGCCAAGGTGGCGGCAGGACTGGATCCAAACATTCCGCTGCGCTCGCTGGTCTGTCAAATTAGCTTTTTCTACACAATCGTGCGTGATTGATTTTTCACAAATGTTTGCTTGTGCGTGTAGGGCATGTCTCTGAGTGGGGGCGAGCAAAAGGATGCCATCGACAAACTGATTGCTCACATGAAAGGCCTTTATCCTACCCTTAGCCAAGATTATTTCATCACGACCGATGCCATCGGTGCCATGGCCACTGCTAGTGACCGCGGTAAGTCAACACTTGCCGTCTTTCTACCCATTTGTCAAAACGGGCTTGATACTTTGCGCCTTGTAGGTGTGGCTTTATCTCTTGTCAGCTTTACTGCGTGATCAGATCTGCACCCTGTAAGTTTATAACCAGAGTCTAAAGGTTTGGCTTTTCTCACCAGGTGGCGTCGTCTTGATCTCAGGGACAGGCTCCAACTGCAAATTAGTGAATCCAGACGGGTCCCAGGTTGGCTGTGGGGGCTGGGGTCACATGATGGGTGACGAAGGATCTGGTAAGAAGTTCAACCAATCAACATTCATTTGTTTTCTCTTTCCTGGATTTCTGAAAAAGCCTGCTCTTAGTGGTGTCTCCATCAGCGGTGGCAGTAGCAGGGCCTTCCTTTGCGTGCGTTCTCAAAAACCCATCCTGTATTAAGAAACTTTCTATGGAAAGTGTTGATGATGCATTTGTGGAGTCAGATGACCACAAAGCTTTTCAAACTGGCGCTGAGCTGCAGTCGGGGGCATAATTGTTTTTTTTAGGGTGGGGGGCAGTTTCAAGTGGCAAGCCATGATCAAAGGAATATGCTTACAAGAACTGCAAAGTCGAAACTATCAAAACGCTGATATCCTCACATCTGTACGAACGATACCTAAAAACAAAATATAAAAAAAAAATTGGAACATTTGTATTTATTTATTTATGTACTGTACAGTAAGCAAGACAGCTAATGGGTCATTAATTCTCTGAACATATCCCCAGCGTTCTGGATTGCACATTTAGCTGTCAAGACCGTTTTTGATGCCAGGGACAAGTTGGCCACGCCTCCTCATGACGTGACACATGTGAGAAAAGCCATGGAGGAGTATTTTGAGGTGACATTTGATGCAAATCGGCCAAACGCTGTTGATTTCTCCATGTACAAATCAGATTACAAACCCTGACGAATTCTTCGTAGGTGTCTGACCTCATGGGCATGCTGCCGCACCTCTACAGAAACTTCCAGAAGTCCCACTTTGCCGGTTTCTGTCAGAAGCTGGCTGAAGGTCGGCACTGAGTCACGAGAAAATTGTCAAAAATAGTCACAAGTCCATCACAAATTCTGACTGCAGTTGAATTTAACTTGCGTGTTCAGTCAATTGAAGCATTTGAAATGATGTATTTGGAACATCACTGGAAATATTTCAGGTCATTAAAAACATTGGGTTGTTTGCCAAAGGTGCAGAAGCTGGAGATGCGCTGTGTCAATATGTGTTCTCGCGAGCTGGGAGAGTCCTAGCCAAACACGTGCAAGCCGTCCTACCTGCAGCACAGGAGGTGTCGTACATACACGTTGCATTGCATCATCAATGATTTCCTTTATTAATGCCCCCCCTCCCCTCTATCTCAGCCTCTACTCAACGGTGACCTCGGCCTGCCCATCCTGTGCGTGGGCTCCGTGTGGAAGAGCTGGAAGCTTCTGAAAGCGAGTCAGCATCCAACATCCGTCAACTTTGCCCTTTCCTGCTATCAGTATAGCTTCTGAAACTTCCTTCTCACGTTGCCTTCTGCACAGGCTTCATTGAGGTCCTGGATGAGGCGGCGTCATCTGATGAGTTCAAGGCCCGTTTCCACGGCTACAGCCTCCTGGTGTTGAAACAGTCCTCAGCACTCGGAGGTGCAAGTCTCGGCGCGCGGAGTTTGGGCGCACTTTTAAAGATGGACTACGCGGCCAACGTCGACATCTTCTACCGTCACTCCTGTAAAAGCAAGCAGTGAGCGTGCAATGTCATCCATGTTGGCAGTAAGAGCGTATTTTCATCTTTGACGTTCGGAAAATATCGTGATGTCAGTGAGTCCACAAGTGGGACTCATTTAACATAAATCCACTCGTTTACTCCCAACAAATTAGAATCCCTTTTGTGTTGTCAGTGATTCGGCAATGGTGCTATTTGTGCAAGCCGCTCAGCTGTGCGCATGCATACAAAAGTGAATGAACCGCGACTGTTTGACGTGTGTATACTTTTAAAATTGAGCATCTATTTTTTTAAGGGTATATTCCAATAAAACAGACTCCATTCTGGCTTCTGGTCATGTGTAAGTAAAAAAACAAAAAAAACTCCAAACACATTTGCCTTTAATATCTTTATTCATTATTTTTATTGAAATTAATACTCTGTGTGTCTTTGGACCTCTTTACTTTTACGGCTTCTGTCAACTAACTTGAAACAAAATCACCAAAAAATGATTTTATGTTGCACAACCCACCTGGCAAACATTCCTATTAGCTTCACCGGGGTGCCACGCCTCATGAGGAAGTTCTGCTTTGACCCGATGTTCAACTCAACTTGACAGTGTCAAAGTGAAATCTTTCTACTCCTTAACAACAGTCATGTTTATTACACAGGTAAAAAAAAAAAAAAATTAAATTGAGAAATAAACCTGATTGAACTTTTTTTTTGTGTTTTTACCCCTGCAACCTTTTCCTATGACTTGCGACAAATCGGGCTCACGAGAAGAACTTCCTCATACAAAGGACAACCAATTACACAAGAGGCCTTGCAGTCCGCCACTTAGCGGCGTTTAAACCAGGCAGACGATGACGGTGACAATATGCCCCTACACATCTCCTCCCGACGTTACACGATTAAGCAGACACCCCAGGTCACTGTACCCAGTAGACACAAAACACCCCCGTCCTTGAAACAGCATGAGAAGGACAAAACGCAAAGTGGAGGAGAGGCTATTTCAAAACCTGATGCGAGTATGGACACTTGTTGGGATGTTGAACAAATACGCAATGTCTGTGGTCCTCAACAAATACTCCCCCACTCCCGTCCACATAATCAGGCCTGTACAAGTATTTCGTTTGGATCGGCGTTATTGCGTACATGTGTAGCATCCCGCAAATTTGCAGGCTCTGTGACATCACAAGGAGCTCGTGACATCACAGGCGCGAGCGGATCGGCCTTTGATAGCCGGACAGAGCAGCGAGACGCCCACCCCGTCCCCCAAAAGTACAAGAAGTCACCTCACCGGTATGGAAACCTTCAACCTCATGGCGTTGATCCCCAATTTGATGAAACAAAATGTATGTGAGGTCGATTTTCAAGTTTGTTACACTTGGAGGGGGGGGATCAAGTTGTTGAGTCTGGCATCACTCCTTGGTAGCTGCCTTATTTTCCCAGGGGACGTTAGTAGGCGTGTCCGCGTGCTCTGTGAAGCCTTGACACGTATTCGGAAGTGCAGCGACGCACTGGCGCCCACTGTAGGGCTGGACATGTTAACACCCCCGCTCCAAAATGTCACTCGGTTTACAAGAAATAAACAGGAAATGAAAAGAAAGGGGAAAAAAAAGAGAAATTATCCCCTCACCCCCCAACTGGGCCTAACCACACAGTGGTACTTCTTGAGAGAGAGTTTGTGTGTGTGTGTGTGTGTGTGTGTGTGTGTGTGTGTGTGTGTGTGTGTGTGTGTGTGTGTATCAGTGCGCTCACTCATGGCCGCCAGAGTCTCTTGAGAATAGGTGAGGACTGGTGTGTGTTTGTGTGTGCACGTGTGTGAAGGCTCCATGGGGGTGAGGGGGACTCCTAGTATTTCTTCCCAGGGACGAACTCCTTCGCTTCGGGGTTCAAAATGCTCTTCCTCTGCACAAAAGAAGGGAGAAAATTAACATTGCACGGTGTCGGATATTGTTCGAGTTGTTTCCTTCTCCTCCTACTCACCGCCACTTCCTCCAGATTGTTGTGGTGTTCGCTGACAGACAAGCCGTTGAGCTGCTGCTGCAGTTGCTCCACCCCCTGATTGTTGAGATCACGCGACGGGATGAACCAGTGTTGGTCCTCTTCCTCCAGCATCTCCTGGAAGCAGCGGTCCAGGAACTCTTGCTCCAGAAGCTCCTCTTCTACCTGCAGGCGGGTCAAACAATGTCACGGGGTTTCTTTCTGCAGGTCATTAAAAAAAACATTTAAAGTCATTAAATGTATTTTGTGAAGATGAAGGCCTTAAATGGCATTAGCTTAAAATACTGTGTCCGGAAGCAGTAATTCAATGAAAACACAACTGGTAGGCTGCTGGTTAGCAGTAAGCACCAAGCTAGGTTGCTGCAGCTCTCAAAGCGGTCTTGCGTGGGCACTCCCAGACCCGTTTCAGAGCAAAGTGTATGGCAGGCTTGTCACCCGAAGTGACTCCAAGTCTCTTTGTTCTTTAGACTTGAGGCATACTTATTCACCATCTCCTGAAAATAGCTCGTGGAACAGCATTGGTGTAATTTCTGGCACATTAGCAGGAACGCTGTGTCACTAATCACAATGCGCATCGATATAAAACTCTCTAAACTACATTTAGCAACAATTAAAATAGTCAAAAATATTTATTTGTGGGCATTGGGGACTACTTGTAATGTACATTTGACCAAACGTGGGTAAGGGTGCACAAGTTGTTTCATGTTCCAATTTATTTCTTATTTTGAAAAGAAAATTAGACAGTTCCTGTCGCCAGTGCCAAACATGAAACACTAATGCCACCTAGAGGCTATCTATCTATCTATATAGATATATAGATATAGATATATATATATATATATCAACACAAATTTGACTCAATATTTTCCATCACATAACTGTATAATTTATCTTTTTAACTTCAAATAATTGTATAACTTACAATAAAACAACTGCATCAATGAAATAAAAAAATACAACCATATTTGTATTAGGTAAACATATTTCTCCTCTCATTCAAATTAACAACAGTCTGAAAAACTTTGAAAAAATATTTCGTGTACATTTACAACAGAAGAATGTGTGGTTAATTTTAAATTACCCATACAGCATATGCATGTTTGAATGGATGTATATGTCCAGGTGTTTATATGCAGTTCGACATGGGCATACATTTAATTTAATTTGCATTAAAAAGTTTTAAGTTAGATTTGCTAATAGCTGCAGAAACCCAGTGTCAGTGGTATTTTTTATTTATTTTTAATACAAATCAATTTCATACAAACCTGTCTGTTATACTCCTCCTCATTCTCCATCCACATGTATTCTGCAAAGGGGTTGGCGTCGGTGTCGCCCGCATGGCCGTTGGCCACCGGCTCTTTGCCCTCCTTCCCTGGCGCGCTTCCTCCTGGTGTCTTGGCCACCTCAGGACCACTCATCTCAGCTGGCTCTGCGCGGGAGGATGGGACGACACAGTCCAGGTTGTAAAATTTAAGTGTGGCATATCATTATGGACATTAGAGTAAAAAAAAAAAAGGACAATATGCTCCACCCGGCATAGTTGGCGGAGAAGAAGAAACATGCTAACAGTCTGTGTGTGGCGTGAAGGTACATCTGCCCTAGGTTTTGATAGACAAAAACAACGATAAACATGACAGAATTTTGGATCCCGCAAAATCTGATAAGTGGTCATCTATGCTAGCAATGTATTGTCACAGGCACAACATGTTCATATTCCTCTACTAGACTACAAAAGATGCATTTGTTAAGGTTGAGACATGTTCAATGTAATACATGCGTCTTGGCTCAACAAAGGTTTAGAAACAAAGCATTCGGATGTGTACCACAACCACTGAGAGCAATCAGTCTGCATGATACAACGATGCACATTAAGTGCAAAATTCAAAGATACTGAACACTATTGAAAACAGGCCGCGGTGGTGTTGGGGGGGAGACGTTCAAGTGACAAATAAACATCTTCGCCGCCGCGCAGAGCATCCAAGGCTTCATAACAGGTTATGTAACGCAGACGGCGTCGTGGCTTCGAGCCTGCTAGCATCTGCACACAGCTAACGGGCTAAATCAGGTGCCCGCCCGGGCCTACCTGCAAAGTTGGTAAAGGGATTGCACCGTCGCCTTTAGCTGAGGGGGAGGAGGGGGGGTGCGAAGAGGCCAGCTGCAAACAGACGCTGAGCGGCGCTGTCAACGAGCAGGCCGAAAGACGGCCGCCATGCCATCCACAACAAAAGACAGGCTGGATACTATCGCGCGCGGCTACTCAAACACACACGGCGCAAACAACACAACGTCACTGTACTTCCAAACAACCGAAGGCCAAACTTGATCGCCGAGCGCGACAAACAAAAGACGAGAGATCCGCTACGTGTTAGCGCGATGCTAACAGCATGGCAGCAGCATCGAGACAGGTCAACAAAAACAAGGCAGCGTTCCGAGATTGCAATCGATTTGCACTGACAAAGGCAAAAAGGACACCGCCTCGACATTCTGGGAGCCCCGAGTTACCTGGCATCGTGCTTTCCAAGTGCGATTCTAAGCGTGACGTGACACAAACGTCGGTTCGGTCGCTGAGGGTTGAGCGTTGCTTCCGTCGGGATTTCAGTGCAGCAAAGCAATGGTGCGCGAGTTAGCTAAATCTTGTTAGCCGCCTTGCTAGCGCGAGAGACCTAGGTGGTCACGTGATCTGCATTGAGCGTCGTGCTTGGCAAAAAGGGTTAATTTTTATTTAGTTAGTTAGTTACTGTCATTGTATCGTGGTCGTTTTCATCTTTGGCCATTATCATTTTCCGTTTTTCAACTAACAGGGTTCAGTCTCGCCACAAAGAAAAAGATCTACAATGTTGAATAAAAGAATACCGAATCAAGAAGAGGCATTGAACGCAGCATGCGAACAAACGCGCCGTCTACTCTCTCTTCGTGCTACATTCAAGGTCTACTATAAAGTCGGAATTCATTATTTTATCTGTGGGACCACAACAGGAACGCCCCTTGGAACGTCGCGTTTAAGTCCTTGTTGGTTTTTTACAATTGCGGAGAAACTGTTTATATGTAGATTAACTGTCGATATACATTTACAAATCTATATGTGTCAAAGCCGGAACACGTTTACTCATCAGTGACGTGACGCTAATCTGCTCCCGTGATGCCAACATTTGGCGTAGACTTTTATGGCTGTGATAACCGTGATAAAAGTGCAATAACTGATGTCTGTATGAGAATCGCTTTTCATGTTCGTGATGTCGATTGTCGATAACAGTAATCGTTGTCTTAAAACGGGTTGGTTTGCCGGTTTATTCACTTGACGGCTCGGTTGTGACGCCACGGCAAGCCAAAATTCCGAGGCAATAGGAACGCAGCATTACTCCCACCAAAAACAAATGCCTGCGTGGCTTCGTAAAAGCTCGGGGGTCACCAACTAGCCTGTAAATTACATTTCATTTTGACCTCTGAGTAATCAATACAGCAGACCTAACAACCAATAAGCTATTTCCGGACATTTATGTCCAATGGAGGATTCCACGTGTTGACTTGTTGGGCTCCCGTGGAATTGTCCTAAAAGTCTTTCTATGCTGTCACAAGAGGGACGTAGTTATTCTTCATTACGAAGAGCCAGATTGTCGGTCTTTTGTCGTCTTGTGGCAAACTTCTCAAAAGCAGACTGAACGGACTCACCCTACAACTTGAAGTGTAAACAAGATGCAAATCCGCTGGGACAAACGATCGTCGTCGCTGCCGGATGTCACGCTGTGTTAACTTTCAAGTTTTTTTTTCGTTCTTCAAACACGTGTCTTCTTTGACAGTCTGTTGGCGTTAAAGCGAGAGAAAACCACGGCAGCGTTTGGAGGAGTCGAGCCCTGTGCCGTGTCGCGGTGTCCAGCTGGAAGTTTTGCCCATTGGTCGCAAGGAACGTCAATCAGCTCCATAGCGCAATACAATTGGTCATCTCGTCCACATACCCCGCCCCCTTCTCAATTCACATAAGTAAACAAAATATACCCCCGTGTTCTTGTGCTCTTTTAATCAATGCGGCTTGTCAAATATTTGACAAATGAACGTTTACGTAGAAGCATTTGCCCTACTTAAGGCCGCTGATTGTAACATGTTAGGTTTTGAAATTAGTTATTTTTTTACACGCTTGTAGAATCTGGGAAAAAAGTGAAAATATTTGAAAGATGTTTTAAACAAGTGAAGTAGTGTTTTTTCACTGCTGCTTTGCAGTCGTACGGTCATAGGTTTGAATCCCAGAGGTGCTCCGCTCAGGAAACATCTGCATTTCATCTTCTTTGAGGTTGCAGTGCCTGAAATCTACAATGGAGGGCGCCCGTGATACAGAGTGAGATTGTTTTATGAGTGGGCCACCCACACATACCAACATCACTTGACCCGTTGTGACCCAGCTGATGGTAACATATATATCAATATTACCTCTTGATTGTTGATGAACCAACTATGCATTGGTAACCTGACCTTCTGGTTCATTCAGATTTGAGGTATTCCAAAACTCGGAGTATGAAAAGTGGACTTGAAAGGACCTTTTGCCTGTTCCAATGCCACACATCATGCAGGTGCATACTTGGTTTTTTTTTTTGTTTTGTTTTTTAGCCCAGTGTTTACTTACCAATGAAAGAAAGCATATTTCTATTTTGTGTGTTTGACTATTCAAAATGTTTCTCCAAACACAGAACTGAAACGTCAGTTACTTTACTGTGTATTCGATTTTATAAGTAACAAAGTTAGATTCTAAGTTACTTAATTATTTACATTCAACAGATGCCAACAACCCCGCCTCACAAACTTGACAACCAGTTTTGCCAATACTGAACTGGAAGTACAAATTAACCTGTGACGTTTCAGAATAAAGTTTATTTTTAATTACCCGTAAAATAAAGACAAACTTTTTTTTTTTTATCTTTATGGGAAAAAATGGTATATTCGAGTAACACGTTAGAATGTGACGCATTACAGACATCATTGTATTTGAATGTTTGTGTGTGTGCGTGTGTGTTAGGGGCGTGCCTCGGTTTGCTCAGGACTTCCAGGGTCCGAAAGATAATGTGGAATTCATGAGAGGATTGCTGTACATGGGTCCCTTCCTGTCACCTGACTCCATCGTTTCCTATGTTTGGCTTCCTGCATCAACCTCGAAGGCGCAACACAGATCCTGAGAGCCGTTTGGCATCTGTTTTAGGTTTTTCTGTCGCAAAGCTTGGCCAGCGGTCATTGAGTCATCACAGCTAATGCAAAGCTGCTAAAACACGGCAAACACGAGTAAACGACGCAGTCGAGAATGGGTTACATAAACTAAGAAGAAAAGCAATGTGATGGCAGGGGTCCGTATCGGGGCCTCTTGGATTTGGGGCAGCGAGGGGGATACATGTCAGGTAATGGCTTCCAGATTTTAAAATTGAATTACTCTGCTGTGTCTCGTGTGTGCGTGTGCGCGCGCGCGTGTGTATGTGTATGTGTATGTGTGTGTGTATGTGTTCTGACTAGCAAATCTATTTTGCAAACACACAGCCAGTGCAGAAATGGGACATAAAACAACAGTTAACTCTTTTACATTCCATGCTCATTGAGGCATAAATGCAAAGAGAAGCACAAAAGATGACAGGAAGAAGCAATTAAACGGAAGAAAAGTTGATAATGCAAGAAAGGCGAACCGACTTGATGTGAAACGCAATACACCCTCTTCTCCACTCAAGAATAGAGCACCCTCAGTCTCCGTCTTACACACACACACACACACACACACACACACACACACACACACACACACAAATGTAGGTAAATGCCCTCCCCTGTGCTGTCACAGTCCTCCCATTCCTGTTACTTATGTGTGGTTCGCCACTCTTCTCGGCCCCTCTAGTGCAGAGCGGAGAGAAAGGAGTTTGAGGCTGCACTCACTGAACGCCTCCATCTGCACCCCCTACGCCCTTTGGGGGAAAAAAAGTGGCCCTTTTGCTACAGGAAGAAATTCTTCGACAATTTTGCATTTGAAGAAAGGCATCCTCACTCCTGAAGCGCACAAAGACTTGTGGTTGCCGCAGCACTCAAGAGCGTGAGTTTTCCGAACATTTGCACTCATTTTGATGTCATCATCTTGAGGAACTTTACAGATACAAGCTGGTGCAGAAAGAGTGATTGCAGATTATTTGGAGTTTTGTTCAGGAACAACGCTGCTGGGAAAGCGTTGTAGATTTGTGCATGTCATGCAATGTTGTTTGCTTACTCACACCTTCTCACCTGTGGTTAATTACAGCTAAAACTGTCCCAAATGCAAGGCCGTCGTGAAGACGAACCCTTATGTGCTATTTGTTTCAACCCTCGCCGCGGTAACATGACGTGACTTTGTAATTTTGCGGCCCCCTCCCAGATCGCGGCACCTGTAAAGATGGCTGACACGGAGCAGCCGGATCCCAGCAGCCTCCCATCGCCAAGTGAGAGTCATTCCTACGGCAATGTTATTATTACGCTCTTATCTTTGACCTCTGCGTGTGCTTCTCCCACTTGATTATTCCCGTGGCATTCCCGAGACATTCCAGTTGTTTCTTCTCATTCAGTCCCACATCTGAAGCCAAGCGTATTCACAACCCTAAAGCGCTAATGAGCAGGGAGGAGAAGTGTTACAGTACATTTATCAGTGCATGTCAGCCTTCCGTTTTTTTCCCCGCAATAAGCCTTTCCACTCGCTGCTTCGCGGGATTTTCCAACGGGGAGCTTTTCTCGACATTCGGCCTATCATCTCCTCATCCGTTCTCTTCTTTGTAGGTGACAATTTATCAGTGCCCTCGTCATCAGCCAATTCGAGAACCGACTGCAGTATTGAACCCCTCACACCGTCACCCTCACCGGTAACAACACACACGCACACACACACACACACACACACACACACGCAAAAGGTTTGTAATAACACTTCAAGAGCAGACGCTCAAGGAGAAACTTTGATTTGGCACTCAGTTGTATACAGTACTTTCCTAGCACCGCTTGCACCTGATTAATCGTCACTTATTCATTTCTGCTTTTGATCCTCAGAGGGTGGAGGTCAGACCACGCATGGCCTGTCCGTTCTCAGTTGTCGTGGCAATAGACTTTGGCACAACCTCCAGCGGCTACGCTTTCAGCTTCACCGAGGACTCGGAAGCCATACACATGATGAAGTAAGACGCCATCTCGCGTTTAATCTATTTTCTAAGTTTAAGTTTTTTCGTTTCCCACCCCCCAATCTGTTATATGCAGGCGCTGGGAGGGCGGCGACCCCGGCGTAGCCAATCAAAAGAGCCCCACGTGTCTGCTGCTGACGCCCGACTTGCGCTTCCACAGTTTTGGGTTCGCGGCACGGGACTTTTACCATGACCTGGATCCAGACGAGGCCCAGCAGTGGCTCTACTTTGATAAATTCAAGATGAAGATCCACAGCACTTGTGTGAGTGAGCTTTAGTTTCCGCACAGGTCCAGACGTGACAAACGTAGTCGCGCCGAAAAAAAAAAGACGGATAAAAGTACGGGTACCGATTCACTCCACCTTTATCAAGTCCAAGTCAAGTCTGAGTCCACAAGGTCTGAGTCCAAGTCCAGATGGGATCAAGAGTAAGCGACAAATAGTATTTTCACAACTACAAAATTAGACAAATTCCATGATGCTCACTACTTTTCTTAGATGGCATGAAACCCTTTGCTTTATTTAGCCCGTGAAAAAGTCTCTTTGTGGTGGCTCTGCAGGATGTGCCCAAAATTGTCTTCTCACAGAATCTGCAGGTTGCTTCACCTATTTTTTTTTTTTTTTTTTGATGACGTTGTGGCTAACACCCGTTCTCCATGGTTGGGCTCACCAAATTTTATAAGCCTGCTATTGGCTGACATGACTGAAAGAAAATGACTGCGTACTTTGGCGCACGCCGACGGGCTAGCCAATCAGATGACTTTTTTGGTGATCTGAAAAACTTTATTTCAAGTTTCTTTTGAAGGAGGATATTCATTGTCAGGAATAAAAACACGGTCCAATGGCTGAATCCGACACAAGTGACGAGTTTGGACTCATAAGAGTACTGAAGCCCTGCTCTGAAGTGGAAAGTGTTCACAACTCGGTCAATAAAAAAACCAAATGAATAATTTAAAAAAAAAACAAGTATCATACTTACAATGAAGCTTCAAACAGGCGAAAAAGCACTCTGAAATGTAGTTAAAGCACAACTAAAGTTTTCCTGTCAGTTATGTACATCACACCTGTTTTGAAAACTCCTCCCACCAGAAAAAGTAACGCGACACACAAAAATTTTACGTCTATTCATGTGAATCCTGCCTTTGCTGCAGGATCTCACGATGGAGACCGAGCTGGAGGCGGTTAACGGCCGACGGGTGGCAGCCATTGAGGTGTTCGCTCACGCGCTGCGCTTCTTCAGGGAGCACGCCCTAAAGGTACGGCTCGCTAGCACGCGCTGCCAAACATTAGTGCTGCTGGTAAAGGAAGCTAACCCGGCATCGTTTTAGGAGGTGAAGGAGCAGACCTCTTCCGTGCTGGAGGGGGACGAGATCAGATGGGTGATCACCGTCCCTGCCGTGTGGCGGCAACCTGCCAAACAGTTCATGAGAGAGGCCGCCTACCTGGTTAGTGCCACAAACGACACGGCGCCACGTTTTTGTTTTTGGAGGATTTTGCTCGCTCCACCTTCACCTGCGTTTACTACAGCGCTCGCGTGGATGCACGTTCAGAGCAGTTTTCTGGTGTGTGCGCGCGTGCTTCCTACTGTTCATGATGTCATCAGCAGAACAATGAGCGAGACCGGCACACAAACACGGGAAGTCGTGAGCAGACACCGCCCTGCGCTCACCCGCATACATCAACACAAACTTACAGTATAGACAGTACAGTGCGCTCTCAGGGTGGGCATTTTTGGCTTTTGAAATTTGAATTGGAAAAAATGTTTAAAATGAAGGAAATGCATTTTAAGATTTACTGCTTACGTGTGCAAATGCCGCCTATTTTTTTCCCCTCAAAATTCCATTATTATATTCTGCTGAGGATGCCAAAGGCACTTTGTAGTCATCCCAACTCTTCGGTTTCTTTCTCCGGTTCCTCCTCCTCCTCCTCCTTCCAGGCAGGTCTGGTGTCCCCGGACTGTCCCGAGCAACTCCTCATCGCTCTTGAACCGGAGGCCGCCTCCATTTACTGCCGCAAGCTCCGCCTCCACCAGGTGACCGACCTGAGCCTGCAGCCGATGGCGAACGGCGTGGATGTGAACGGATCGCGGCCTTTTGACTCCAGCTTTAGGCAAGGTGGGGCAACACGCGCGTTTGTGTGCTTGAGTCGCATTGTTTTCGAGCAAGAAGGTCAAAATATGCACCGCGCGTTCAAACGGGGCAGCGGGGGCCCAACGCGTGCTTCAGCGTAAGAATATTTCACCCAAACATCGCCCACCCCCTTTCCGCTGCACAGCTCCACTTACAAGTCACTGAGAAACCATTCAAGCCGACACACACACACACACACACACACACACACACACACACACACACACACACACACACACACACACACACACACACACAAAGATGTACACTAAACACAGGATATTTGGTGTAAGGGTATTTATTTCCTCGAAAACAACTAAAGCTGCATGGCAAGAGCTAATGTGGCAGCACATTGAACAAACATAGGACACTTTACTTAAACTTGCCATCAAGTCTCATCTCAGCCGTACTGTCTTCTCATTAAGGCATCTAATGAGCGCACCCACATGCACTTTTGCAGGTCAGCCCACAGAAGATGGCTGAGAATGAGAAAAACTAGAAGGGTCGCCCGAGGGTAGGGTTGGAAATTGTCCGTGGGAATGAACAGGAATTTATGGAATTAACACCAATATAATAGGAATTTACAAACCAGATAGGCTCTTCACAGGCAATTTAAATGTAGTTGGAGAATTCATTTATGCATAAGACCAAATAAAACAACCAGATTTTATGCCAATTGAATATCTATGAAATTTCTCGATGAAATACACTGCATAATTTCAAATCCTTCTCACAAATCGAGCGCCATCGACACATTTGTGGGCTGCATGTCACTGGGCTTTTCTTTGTTTTGCAACACACACACACACACACACACACACACACACACTTATGATCTCCAAGGATTGAAATCACTGCTGACACACACACACACACACACACACACACACACACACACACACACACACACACACACATAA